TGTGTGTGTGTGTGTGTGTGTGTGTGTGTGTGTGTGTGTGTGTGTGTTGGGGGGGGCGGCTCTTTCTGCCTCCCTCTGCCCTTTCTTTCTTTCTCTTGTCTCCTGGGGTCTCCGGCCTCCCTCCCTCCCTCCCACCCTCCCTCCGTCTGTGTCTCGGTCCGCCCGGCTCCTTCTTCAGTCTGTAGAGCTGCTGCCTCCTTGCTCCGCTGTGCTCTCGGCTCACAGAGTGCTGGAGCCTGCGAGCCTCAACACATCCTCCCTCCAGCCGGCCTGTGGGCGCCCAGAAAGGCCCCCGCCCTCCCGCCCCGGGCCGAGCTGAGTTGGGCTGGGCCCCTCCAGCCTCCAGGCCCTCCTTCCTCTTCCTCCTCCTTCTCCACCTCCTCCTCCTCCTCATCTTCTTTCTCCTCCCCGCCCCTCCCGCGTGGGGGAGCCTGCGCCTTTAAGGGCGGGCGGGGGGCGGGGGCTCGGGCTCCCCTCCCCCTCCCCGCCCCCTCCCCCTTCCCCTCCCTGACGTCTCTTCCTCCCGGGCCCCTCCGCCGCCGCCGCCGCCGCCCGGGCCGGCTCCGCGCCCCCCGGCCCCCCCCAAGCCCCAGTCCCCCTCCCCTCATGGAGCCCGGGCTCCCTTGGAGCCGGGGCCACTAGGACCCTCGGGTGCCCTCCCCCAGCCCCGGCCTCCAGTCCCCCAGCCCGGGGCCGGCTCCCGGAGCTGGGGGGCCGCCCTTCCCGGGACCCCGGCGTCCGGGGCCCCCCAGCCTTTGTGTGGGAGGGAGCGGCCGGCGGTCCGGGGGGCAGGGCCAAGGCCGGGGCCGGGGGGGGTCTCCCCCCCGGACCCTGCAAGAGAAGATGTCTTCGCGGACCGCGCTGGCTCCGGGCAACGACCGGAATCCCGACTCGGTGAGTCTGCCCTGCCTGCCTGGGCGCTGGCTGGCTACGGCCTTCTCCTCCCTGTCCGCCCAAGCTCCAAGCTCCCTGGACCTGCCAGGCCTCCCGATCCCCCTTCTACCAGGCAGCCCCCTACACCTGCCAGGCGTCCCCATCCCCCTCCTCCCGGCAGCCCCTCATCTTCCAGAACTCCTCATCCCCTGGACCTGGGAGTGCCCCCCCTTCCAGGTAGCCTTCCAGCTTCTAGTCCTTCCTATGCCCTGGGCCTGGGAGTGCCTCCTTTCTCCAGGTAGCCATTCCTATATTTTCCAGGACTCCTGATCCCCTGGCCCAGACAACCATCCTCCCCCTGCCTCCCCACCCCAACCCCAGACAGTACCCTCTGTTCCAGCCTTCTGGCCCTGTAGCTGTCTTCCTGGAAACCCTACACTGCCCAGGCCTGATACCCTGGTCCTGAGAGGTGGATCCCCTCCACCCATCAGTTCCCTCCATCTCAGTCTTCCAGGCCTACACCCCACCTCCAGGCAGCCCCCCATCTTCTCAGCCCATCCTTTGGCCCTGATAGCTAGTGATAGTGACCCCCCCACTATGGAAACCTCCTGCCCAACGAGAACTGGTATTTTCTCCTCCTACCCCCACCCCCAGCCTGCAGCCACTGTCCTTTCCTCTGGGCACCCTTGTGAAATATCATGTCCCACCCTCAGAAGACCCCATCTTCTCCCTCCAGGGCTAGCCTCAGCTCAGGGAGCTGCCCATCACCATCCTCTAAGGCCCTCTCTAGCTCAGAGGTCCCCATATCACTTTCTGGAAGCACCCCACCCCCTGCCCATTTTCTAGGCCTCTATCTCTTTTGGGGCCAACCAGTCTCCTTTTCTCCTTCCTTTCAAGGCCAGCCTGAGTCCTTCTCTCCCCCAGAAAGCCCCCAATATTTTATGCCTTTCTTCTCCCCCCCTTCCAAGACCAACTTGGCCTCTGGGAACCTTTCTCCTCCCTTCCTGTACCCTTCCCCCAGAGGCTTGCTTTATCCTGGCCTCAAACCCCTTCTCCTAGGCAGAACCCCCTCCTCCCATCTTCTAGGTTTCTTCCCTTGATCCTGAGTAACAGGGCACTCCCATCTCCAAGCTTCTTCCTTGGGTGCTGAGAGATACCACCTCCAGCTCTAAGCAGCACCCCATCTTCCACATATTCTCTCCTTGCTGAGAGCCAGTGTTCTCTCCCGGAAATCCTTATTTTCCAGGCCCTGTCCCCTACCTCTTGGAAACTGTCTTGTTCTCCTCTGGGCAGCTCCCCAGCCCTGTATTTGCCAAGGCCTGATCCATGGTTCCCCTCTCCCCAGGCTGCTGGGACCCCTTCTTCCTGTATTAGCCCTCCAGCTTTTAGGCCTTCCTTAGTTCTGTGTTACCTTCCCGACATATTAATCCCTTATCTCCTTCCTTCCTTCCTTCCTCCCTCCCTCTCTCCCTCTCAAGGTCAGCCTTTAGCCCTTTTTCCTCCTTCCAAAAGCCCCTCATCTTTTGGAGCAACTCTTCCCAAGATTCCAGTGTCTCTCTTCCTCCCCCCCTCCACCTCCTTCCATTTGAGACTTCCCCAGGGAAGACTTCCATCTTCCAGACCCCCACCCTGCTCTAAGGCCCAGCTGGTCCCCTCCCCTAGAAAGCTAGGAGAGAGCTCTTCCAGTGTTCCCCTAGAGACCTCAGATCATATAGGCCTCTTCTCCCCCTTTCTCTAAGCTCATCTAGGGCTGCTGGCTGATGGGAGGCCCCATCTTCCAGGCCTTTTCTCCCCAGGTTAACTGTTTTCTCTCTAATCCTCTAAGGCAGCCCAGGGCCCCTTTTCCCATGAGGTCTTTTCCTAATGTTATAACCTTACTTTTTCTTCCCTTTGCCCCCTCCTCCATTTCCCAGCTCTCTCCTGCCTGGGAAGGCCCAAGGAGGGCATGTGGTCTAGAGGTATTTCTGTGTGTCTGCATCCTCCCCTTCCAAAACCAGGATGAGTTTCTTCCACCCTGAGAATCATCAGGGATCTCTTTTTCCCACTTTTGCCTCCCCCTCCCCAGCTCTAAGCAGTAGAAGATTGGGCCAGCCCACCCTGCCCCCTTCTCTCTCCTCCCAAGGAGCCATCTCTCTGTATTCCTCTGGTTCCTATAATTCTGCTGCTAAACGTAGCCCTGTCCCCAGCGGGGTCTGATGGTCCATGGTTCTTCCTCCCTGCCAAAGAGCATCCCCCCCTCACTAATCTCCAGCTGTCCCCCCACCCCAGACTCCACCTCAGTTCCCTAGCAACAGGCGCCTCATACCTGGGGTGTCAGCCCAGGCAGAGGGAGCTAGGCCAGATGGTGCTGAAGGCCGATTTTAGCTACCACCCCCAGTTTGGGGGTGGAGGGGGGCGCTGTGTCACCTACTGGCCCCTGCCCCCTTAATTCCTCAGGGGGTCCCTGTTCTGCCACCATGCCTACTTGAATGCGGCCTTGGTACCCCCCACCATGGGACATGGGCTGCTGCTGGGGCTGTGTTGAGAAGGATCTCAGAGCACTTAGTCCTAGAGGGGTGGAGTTTTAAGCTGAAGGAAGCCTTAGAGATCCCGTAGTCTCACCCTTTCATTTTTTCAGAAGAGGGCATTGAGGCCCAGAGAGAGGGACTGAGTGGCCCAAGATCACCCAGAGAGACAATCTTCTTGACTCCCAGCCCAGGGCTCCACTTTGCCATTGCTCTACACCTCTTGGGGCATATCAGAGTACTATCCTTCAGGATCTTAGAGTGCCCTGTATCTATTCCCTAGAGAAGAAACAAGGGCTTACACGGTGTCAGGGAGGAAGGCGGGCCTAAGGGCCCAGAAACTCAGGCCTGTGGTGTCCCCAGATCAGGCGGCCTCCTTTGGGCTAAGACTGGGCATTGGGGTGAAGTAACCTCCCCCTCTTGCTTCGCTCAACAAACACACAAAAACCTCACGAGTTGGGGCTTGCATGAGGGTCTGAATGGAGAAGCAGGGCCTGGGTCTTAGGGCATGAGGCAGAGGCTAGGGTCCTGTTCTCAGTCTTTATTAAAGGTGAGAGAGGGATTCTTGGGGCCTGAAATAAAAAGACGTGAGGAACCTTAGATCCGGAGTGGGGAGAACCTGGGGAACGGATGATTTTTTTGGAGTCTAGAATGTTAGGGACAGGGTGAAGATTGAAAAAATAGGGGAATGAACTCTGGGGACACAAGAGATGGGAAAATGGGGGCTAAGTGGAGAAAGAATGTTGTAGAGTGCCAAAGGAGTGTTGGGGACAGAGGAGAGGGAATGTGGCTTGGAATAAGAGAAATAGAATCTTGGGAGAAGAAATTTGGAGAGCCATTCTGTTGGGGATGGAGCACTGGGGATGCAATGGAGCATGGTTTTAGAGGCTAAATGACAACTGTCCTGGTGAGAGGAGCTGCCCCGTAGACCTTGAGTCTTCATTGACTAGGAAGAGCCAGGACTGTGAAGGTGGATGGGGACGTGCCGCTGGTTACCTGGGTCCCTCCTCTCCCATGTTGTTCTCTTTCGGGCTTTGGTGATGGAGACTCTGCCCCATATGTGTAGAGGCTGTTGTGGGACGGGAGGAAGGTACCTTGAGTTATCCAGAGTGATGGCAATGGGCCTAGGCAGGGAGGAGGCCTAGGTTAGGTAGTCTAGGAACTGGGTCCTTAGGGGGTTGGGAGCCTTTGGTATGGAGAAAAACATTCTGAATGGGGAGGCAGGCAATCTGACTAACTCCCACTGACTCACTCTTGGCAAGTGTTTTTCTCTGTCTATGCCTCAGTTTTCCCTTCTGTAAAATGAAGGGGTTGATATCAAGAATCTTTTAGGGCCTTCCTCATTCTAGCTTCAAGGGTTGTCAGACACTCAGAACACAGAAGAACAGGCACAGACAAAGATGATCCTTGAGGGCCCGCCCTCTCAGGGAACATGGGCCTCCCTTCCCCTTTGGCAAAGCCAGAAAGAGAGGGCACTTTATCTGGGCCAGGGAGAAGGGAGAAGAGGAAGAGATGGAGGTCCTTGAAGGGCAGAGGGTGGGGGTGGGACTCAGGCTCTCTGCTCCTCCAGCCCCCACCTCGGCGGATGCCCTAGGCCAGGGGACTGAGTCAGGAGCCCAAACCGGCTCTCCTGCCTGGATGGGGGTGGAGAAGGGCGGGCCCGGGCAGGTGAGTAACTGATAGCCCCGTCCCCCACAGCATGGAACCCTGAGCAGCGGTAGGTCCTCGGACAAGGGTCCCTCATGGTCAAGTCGCTCACTGGGTGCTCGTTGCCGGAACTCCATTGCCTCATGCCCGGAGGAGCAGCCCCATGTCGGTAACTACCGACTCCTGCGGACAATCGGGAAGGGGAATTTCGCCAAGGTCAAACTGGCCCGGCACATCCTCACTGGGCGAGAGGTAGGCAGGGGCCCAGACCCCTGGTGCATCCAAGGATGGTCTGGGGGTTTGGGGACGACACCTGCCTGAGGCGAAATGCTCTACAAATGTAGAAAAAACCATTAGTGCATAATAGTGAGCACACGCCAGTGGTCATCATTTCAGTCCTGGAAGGGGCTGTTTCCCCTCTGGGCCTCTGTGAGATGGGGAGGTTGGAGTTTATGACCTCTAAGGATCTTTCCAGCTCAGAATTTATGATTCTAATGGTGACCTTTCCTTCCACCACTGGGAGGTCTCTGGTCCTTTGAGCCATCTTTTCCCTGCCCCCAACTCTCAGGGTGGCTGGTGCGGGGCAGGGAAGGCAGTGAGGAGGGGGAAAGGTTCCCACGGGAGTCCCTCCCAGGGTAAGCAGAGGATGGTGGGCTTGGTCTCAAGGTCTGGCCTTGCAGGTTGCCATCAAGATAATCGACAAAACCCAGCTCAACCCCAGCAGCTTGCAAAAGGTGAGTTTGAATTCTTTTCCCCATCATAATCTCTGCTGCCCCTTGCCCCCTCAGTGCCTCTGGTCTCCCTGCCTGCTGGGCACATGCTTTCCCTTGGCCTTGGCTTGTTAGGGAGGCTGGGGACCTGATGTCCCCAAACATGGTGGCCCTTCCCTGCAGTTCCGCCCCCCCCCCACTTATGAAATGTTTGCTTCAAAATTACCACAGGGCCTGTATTCAAATCCACACTTAACCTCCCTTTGTGACCTTAGGGGAATCACTTGAACTCACTTTCTCTCAATTGAAGTGGGGGTGGAATGATAACCTTCTCTAAGGGTTTTTGTGTTAACAAAAACAAAAACAAAAAAAAAAAACTCCATCTCTTTCCCTCTCTCCCCACAGCTCTTCCGAGAAGTCCGAATCATGAAAGGCTTAAATCACCCCAACATCGGTGAGGCTCTGGGCCTTGGGGGGCGAAGGGCTGAAGAGTTAGATGAGAAGCTCTGGGCAGGGCCGGGGGAGAGGGGAGACAGCTCCAGTGCTAAGGGTCAGGGGGACGCTGATGCTGACCTCAGGGGCTTATTACAGTGAAACTGTTCGAAGTCATTGAGACGGAGAAAACCCTGTACCTGGTCATGGAGTATGCCAGTGCTGGTGAGACACAGTCCCACTCCTCCCTTCTTCCCCGCTCCATTGTCCCTGCCATGAAATGCTCTTCCTTTTCCATCATTCTCTCCCCAGTGTTCCATCCCCAGCATTCCCCTCTTGGTGCCCAAACCCTCCTCAGCCCAGCTCTCCCCCATCCTTCTCTGTCCACCCCCCCCATCCCTTCCCCCCTCCCTACCTGTATGCACCCCTGTGTCTCCCTGACCCTGTCCCTGCCCCCCTCAGGGGAGGTGTTTGACTACCTCGTGTCCCATGGCCGCATGAAGGAGAAAGAGGCAAGAGCCAAGTTTCGGCAGGTGAGGGAGAGGGAGGGGTGAGTGTGTTTGGGTCTGGGTGTCTGGGTGGGGGTGGGGCTGCCCCCTGCGTACCTGAGGGTGAGGGCCAGGGGGAGCATCATTTGTTGAGACCCCTGTCTTCTTTCTTTCCCTCCCCCCATGGCTCTTTTCTGCTAGATCGTCTCTGCTGTACATTACTGTCACCAGAAAAACATCGTACACCGGGATCTGAAGGTAAGACAGGTCCCTTTTAACCTACCCCCCCAGACCCATCCCCCTATTGTCCCCTGACTTCTTTATCCTTCTTAATACCCCCATTCTACTGTTTACTATGACCCCCCCACTCCATTGTGTTCTCTGACCCCAACATAATACTATCTGTGACCCCCACCCTACTTATAATCCCACTGTGACATCTATACTCCTCTCATCCAGTTCAAGTGAGCAAACATTTACCAAGAGTCTAGGAGGGCAGAACTGGGGTGGGGGGGGTTGGATGGGGGGAGGTAGAGAGAAAGAGGCAGAGTTTTGGATCCAGCCCTGCTCTGCCTTTGTGGGCCTAATGGGGGTCTAAGCCATAAATAGATCCCTTCACTAAATGACTTGGGGCCCTGTGGAATATGAGGCATTGGAGTTGGGATTTAAAGGCTCAGCAGGACATTACAGCAAAGATGCAGAAAGTGGGCATGCTCAGGCTGTGCTGCACCTTGGGGTGGGGCAGTGACTTCTGGAAGAGGGGAAAGATGACGAGGAGAGGGTATCACTTTGTGGAGGATTTTCTGAGTGCCGGGCAAAGGAGTTTCTTTTAAATGATCTATAGATCATCTATAGATGATAGGGAGTCACTCAAGATTTTTCTTGTTGTTCACTTGTTTGCAGTCATGTCCTGACTCTTTGTGACCCCATTTGGCGTTTTCTTGGCAAAGATACTGGAGTGGTTTGCCATTTCCTTCTCCAGCTCATTTTACAAATGAGGAAACTGAGGCAAACAGGGTGAAATGACTTGCTCAGGGTCATACAGCTAGTAAATGTCTCAGGCTGGATTTGAACTCATGAAGAGGAGTCTTCTTGACTCCAAGACTGGTGCTCTGTGCACCCACTAGCAGTCCTCAAGATTCTGGAGCTGGAGAGTAGTATGATCTGACCTGGACCTTGGGGATATTATTCAAGTGGCTTGTAAATAAAGAGTAGATTGAAGAAAGGAGGGACTGGAGCTCTCGGGCCCAGCTAGAAGGTTATTTTAGAAGTTCTTTTTTTTTTTTTGAGACGGTCAGGTTTAGGTGACTTGCCCAGGGTCACACAGCTAATAAATGTCTGAAGCTGGATTTGAACTCAGGTTCTCCTGACTCCAGGGCCAGTGCTCTCTGCACTGCATCACCTAGCTGTCCACTATTTCAGTAGTTCAGAGAGGGTGGTCATCTTGAACTGGAGTCGACATCAGAAGATGTCTTGTCTAACCCCTCCTCTCCCTAGCCCCTCCATATACATCATTTTAAAGATGAGGAAACTGAGGACCCAAGAGGTGAAGGAACTAAGTGTCGGAGGTAGGATTTGAACCTAGGTCCTCTTGACCCCAGTTCCAGGGCTCCTTGCGTCTCCAGTCTTGGAGAATGGAGAATCAAGACCCTAGAGATCCTTCCCTGCAGTGGTGGAAGGGTCTGTTGAACTTAGCTGCTGTTTAACTAGGGAAGGTAAGGGGATGGAAGGAGGAGTGGAAAGCTGTCCTCAGCTCTTGAGCCTGGGGAGACTGAGGCCAAGGACTTCGGAGGAAGGCTGATGATCTGGTGAGGTGGGAGGGAGGTGAGGTGATGAGTTTGAGGCACTGGCGGGACATCCAGCTGGGGGCATCCTGGAGGCAGCTAGAGCTCTGGAGTTCTGGGCTTAATTCAAAGCCATAAGACTGAATGAGGGAGCTGAGGGAAGGAACAGAGAGGGGAAGGCATTGTCCAGTGTGGCAGACTCCATACTTTGGGGATAATAATACCAGTCTCACGGGTGCTGATGACTCTCCGTGAGGTAATGATGAACTCTAAAGCATTGTTTAGTACTTGTCAATAGTGCTTCTTGTTTTCATTAGTGCCTGGTACACAGTAGGTGTTTAATAATTGTTTAATGGATGAGGTGGAAGAGAGACAAGGGTAGCCTTTTTTTTTTTTGAGGGGGGGAGGTTTGCCTACATTTGGGCAGAGAAAACAGAGAAGGCGTGGCAAGAGATGTAGGAGGAGAGCCAGGAGTGTCCCACTTTGGAAGGAGACAGAAGGCTGTTCAGGTGCTGTGGACTGAGCAGACCGTGGGAGGCCTAAGTTTAAGGACCAAGACGGGAGTGGAAGTATCGGGTGAATGGCAGGGCAGGGATGTACTCCTGGGAGAGGAGGAGGACATAGGCCCCGATGCCCAGGGCTGCAGGGACAAAGCTGTGGCAGAGCCCGAGGAGTGAGAAAAGGCCCCTTGGAGAACAGAGTGGCCTCTGGGTACACACAACCCTGGAGGCTCTCGGAGGCTCTCTAAGGGTAGTTACAGTTTGTTCCTGGGGATTAAGTGAAAGCTACAATGTTACCCAAAGTCTTAGATACAGTGAATGTGTCCCTGGGACCTCCATTGTCCGCCCCCTCCCTCTGGTTGCCTTCCTAGCAACATGTATCAGCTTTGTGTCCTTGAGCAGTTCCTTTCCTCTGGCTTCTTCCTCTGGCCTCTGACATGGGACTTTCTCAGCCCAAGGTGTGGGTTTTCATAGAAGGGGAGAGACCGCCCCCTGGTGGAAGTTTCTGAATTATCCCAGAGAGCTGGAAGGGACCTCAGGAACTACAGTTCCCTTGATGGGAATAGGAAACTGAGGCACCAAGAGAGGAGGGAAGGGACTGGCCCAAGGTCCCACAGTGAGCCAGGATTAGAAGCCTGGCTAGGGGTCCTACGGTTCTTTCTACCTCATTGCAGGGGGGTAGAACTAAGGTTCTAGGTCTGACAATGATTGCTGAATGATCAAGTCCTTGCTCCAATGAGAGTTTGGACCAGGTGCTCACCACAGACCCTCCCAGCTCTGACCACATTCCCTATTCTAAGCCCCCTGCCAGCTCTGAACTTCTCTGTTCTAAGGCTTTTCCCACCTCTGACATTCACTGTTCTAAGCCCCCTCCAAGCCCTGATATTCCCTGTTCTAGGTCCCCTCCCAGCTCTGATATTCCCTGTTCTAAGGCCCTCCCAGCCCTGACATTCCCTGTTCCAAGTCCCCTCCCAGCCCTGATATTCCCTGTTCTAAGGCCCTCCCAGCCCTGACATTCCCTGTTCTAAGCTCCCTCTCAGCCCTGATATTCCCTGTTCTAAGTCCCTCACAGACTTGACAATTCCTGTCCTACGGCCCCTCTCCATCTGATACTCCACACTCTCAGAGCCTTCCTAGCTCTGACCTTCTCTGATGACCTGTAGGATTGACCTGGACCCCCTTGCCCCCCCCCACTTCCTGCAGGCAGAGAACCTGCTGCTGGATGCAGAGGCCAACATCAAAATCGCCGACTTTGGCTTCAGTAATGAGTTCACGCTGGGCTCGAAACTGGACACCTTCTGTGGAAGCCCTCCCTATGCAGCCCCGGAGTTATTCCAGGGCAAGAAGTATGATGGGCCCGAGGTGGACATCTGGAGCCTGGGGGTCATTCTCTACACACTGGTCAGCGGCTCCTTGCCCTTTGATGGCCATAACCTTAAGGCAGGTGCTAGGCTAGGCCCCACAGATTGATTGGGAGGGAAGGAAGGAAGGAGGGAAAGGGGGAGGGATGGAGGGAGGG